CCACTGGTGATCAGCAGCGTTCCACGCCATCCGTAGAATTCGTTCAGAACCGCCAATAACGGTCCGAAGGCTAAGGTCCCGAGACCGGAACCGCAAATGGCGATACCCGTGGCCAGCGCTCGCTTCTTCTCGAAATAGTAGTTTACCACAATAATCGACGACAGTCCAATAAGTCCTAACCCGGTACCTAAACGAGTCGGGTTTATGTTTATTATGGAGTCATTAGGTATTATTTCAAGTTGCTGCTATGACTGTGTGCAAGTGCATTTTCGAAATTAGGATTGCGTGATGAAGCATATGAACAGGTTTGAATGTTAGCCTTCGCCGAACAACATTTTCCCAGTAGACCAGCTTTACGTGGCTGTTCATACTTCACTTCGGTTTCAGTCAAAGTTTGATCGTAAAAGATGCTACTCATCACTGAATGATCACTACTCATCACTACTTTGAGTGATGCTACTCATCACTGCTTAGTCAATGTGCTATGAGAATTTCGATTTTACCGTCGAAAGCAAAAAACCAGCCTCGGGGTCGTACTCTAGTCTCTGAATCTTTGACGCGGACTTGGTCTCACTGATGAGTTGCTATCTCTCAGGGAGCTTCATAATCTCTGAGAAAAAGCATTACATAAATCCGCGTGGAGAGCTTCCACCAGTTTAGTTATATTTTCATCAGATCTGATACAACATGTGCATAAGCAGGTATCTTTAGCGATTATCCAGCGAGTATTTTTTCCTATGTGTGTCATATGTTCATCCCATTGAGTAATGTTGCTTCACAGCTGATGTTCAGTGTTCTTCGAGAAAGGTAATCTGTCAGCCTCTATAGCATGTGCCAATATTATTTACACACTTTTAGCCATAATAATGAACACATACACGTGAAAGAATCACATGATACAAAGGAGGTCGGCTATGATCCATTGATTTACTGTTGCGCCTCTTGCAGGTACTGCCAGAGAGCCAGTGATGTAGACTGAAACTATGACAGTAGCACAACTATCCATGGTATATGCATCTAAATGATCATGTTTATCACTGTCATAATGATCATGGTCGTCATCATCATCACTGCATAACGATATTAGCAAAAAAATTACAGTTTTTTCATATGATAGATTCCAGACGCAGCTATGGAGAAGATCAACTCCTTTTTGAGTATTACATCCACAACACACCGTGGCGGTGTGTTCCACAGTTCAGCGACTTGTTCCTATCATTCCTAATGAATCACAGCGATGATGATGATGATGAAGAGTAGGAAGACGATGGCAACGACAACACTGACGAAGACAATAATGATGATGAGCAGTAAGATAACGATGACGATGATGATCATGATTTTCTTCAGGATAATCATTATCATCTTATCGTTATTATTATTATAGTCATGGCTGATTACGAATGTGAGGAATCACTGAACTGTGAGCACATTGCCGGAGTGTGCTGTTAATGCACCATCCGAAACGGAGCCGCAATCCCTTAACTGCCCTTGGAAGTCATCATATGATTAAAACTGATTTTTATTCGATGAGAAATGGAGCTTCGTGACCCTCGTGACAATGCGCTAGCACACCCCCACCGTATTTTTCTGTGCATGTGTTTCAAGTTATTAGAGAGGTTATTACTTTCCTGTACCTCGTAATCGACCCTGTGGCGTGTAATGGTTGCTGAAACATTAATTAGCGTTGAGCAGAAATAAATTTACAGCAGTTAAACCGCCAATATAACAGCAAGAACGAATGTTTCCATGAAACAGTGGAACCTCAACCCCGTTGGCACAAACTATCGACGTCGACGTTCTTGCTACAGCAACTAAAAAGTAAGACTAAGCAAAAGGAAGTTTTTTATTCAACTAACTTTAAACCTAACAATGGCAAAGGAGTCATCATAAGCCGTCAGCAAACCAAATGTAAAAAGAACAAATTAGACTTGTGTACGAACGGCAGACTGCAAAGAATAGTGAACCCAGGAGTTCAGAGACAGAAATGCTGAATATGAGGTATCGTTACGTAACAATGGTGCATAGTCATAGAGAGGATATCAGAATTATCTTAATGCTTATTATTCTGTTGTGTGGTCGCCCTGTCGTGGTATTTTCTTCTTTTTAAAATTGGCATGTTTTCGAGCTACCCCACACATTTTTCAATGCATTCCTCTGAACTTGCGACAGCTGAAGCAATATTATTTTTGATCACATGATTTAATTAAAAATGAGATCATAAATATTTTCTAAAGCGCTTTGGAGTTAATAACTCAAAAGCCGTAAGGATGATAATTTTCAAATGCTCACCTCCAATGAATCCAAACGTGAAGTATAAGTGTACAACTGACTTGGCAGGCATGCTGGAGATGAATCCAATCGTGGTCAGAAATGCTCCAATGAAGCCGACCATTCGGCAGCCCAACATGTTGATCAAGCAGCCGGCAATTGGGCCTAATTGGGACAGGTAACACTTCTGCTGCCCATAGACAAAATATTTCATAATTCTTACCTGCGAAGTTGATCCATGCTACGGTGATGGACACCACCCAAGCTGTTGCGCTTACGTTTGTCTTGAATTCGGCCATCCATATGGGCTGGAATATCTGGCCGATGTTGTACAAGGTGCCCTCGACAACGAAGTTCGATAACAGCGAGGCGACCACCACGGCCCAGCCCCACCCGCCATCAGGGGACACCACGAGGATACGATCGTCGAGTGGCACTTCCGTAGCCGGCAGTTCATCTTCGACGTCTGTCTCCCAAGCTTCCTGATTTTCTGTCACACCTCGTTTCCTGATTTTTGTGATTTTGACATTTTCTGACTTTTTGCTTAAGAAAACTTTTGCGATCGCCGAATGCAGTCGTTTCATGACGCCAAAGTCGCCGGGGGTTCCAAAACAGCACCTCGATGTCGACAGTTATCCGTTTCCCGCTAAAGCGATGCAGGATTCATCGGGCCATCGAAAGACCTATTGAGTTTAGCTGAAAAACATAATAGATAGAAAACGAGTTCCGGCCCTTAGGGTGATTTCATGAGGTTCATAAATGAGTTCATTGTCAACAGCAGAAGTCGTCAGTTTGGTAATCAAGCCTGGTCAAGCAAAATTCTCTGCTCCATCGTGTATACAGAAAAGAAAGAAATAGTCAGAATTCGCGGAAATGCTTGTCTTCTATACACATTCAAAATGGGTGTCATTTTGGCACTCTCGTTTCGTAGAGCAAATTCAGTGACATACCAAACGACAGTGACATCTGCATTTGTTCGGTAAATGGATGAACGGTTTCATCTGAGTTTCTTTCCAAAGTTTACCGTTTACCTTCAACTTGAAAAAGGCAACTGGTCTACTTTTGGCCGTTGTGTGATCCTCTAATATTTTGATGGTCAACTAGCCGCTTAACCGAAGAGCCATCAAACCATCATTCTGTACCCACCTCCAGGTCATTTGCCCTCAGCATCCAGTCAACTATCTGCATGCGGGAGATCATGGCAAAGTGAAACAAGGCAACTTGCGTTGTGTAAAAGTGAACGTGTTTTACACTACTTTTCAGTAGGACTACGAACGCACAAACGAATTACTCTTGCCTCTTAGGTTTCATACATAGCTCTCGTTTTTGAAATAGAACTGGCTGTTGAAAATCACATTAGTCGTAGTTTCATGATGGGTTCCGTCATCTCTTCCTCTCATAAACGCTGAAATAGGGAGGGGTGGGGTAATCATGTTAAGAATGCTCATTAAGGTCGTAAGTCTGTTCTAGAAGAACGTACTTCGATTACAAACGCAGACCGAAGAATGGGGCCATAGTGGATTCTGATATCGTAAGAAACAGCGGCAAAATATTTCCCCTTTCCGTTTAGCCTCTCAGGGAAAGACAACGCCTGAGGAACAATCCTGCATGACATCCTTTAGCATTCAACAAAATTGATGCATGGATGATTGCATTTCATGCCACGCGTCTTCTACGAAGACGTGGCATGTATCTCTCAAATGGAAAGCAAGAGAAACAACAAGATATCCAGTGGCAGAGTGCGTTAAATGAAATATACTCGTATCAAAAATAAATAGTGTTGGTTTCACGGATCATTGCAAACTGTTGCTTGCGCTAGCAATCAGGCAACGTTGAAACATGCAGCGGCAAATAAAAAATGAATATTGGGAGGAAAGAAAAATTACTACCTTCTGAGGAATCCACCTCGAGAAGAGCGAAACCTTGTGAGTGTTCCACAGCGCTCAGCTGCATAAAACGATCAGCAAACAAAGCCGCCATGAAAATCTGAAACGTTGCTTGTTTACCTACTTTCCGTATGAGCGAATCGCACGTCTGTTCGAACACACTTCGTTTGACATGGCAATTGTCCGACTTCGTTCCATCGAGGAGCAACACGTGCCCACTGATGAAGAGCGTTATAAGGCAGGATTTCCTACATTTCGACTATCAGAGTTGCGAGCAATGTTTTTTTCGCTATTTTCTGATATCCTCCGTTCTGCCTCAATTCAACCGACCTGACGATGGACAGTTATTTTCAATTCACAGTGTAGATGGCAGAGTGAAAAAAATTTCAGTTTTGTTAATAGGTGCACATAGGCGATCCCTTAAAATCTATCCCTCCTTGTGGCATGTCTTAAACAGATATTTCTTAGCCTCCGTTTCCGCCAAGGGAATCTATTAAAATCGATTATCATGGCCTGGCTAACCGGCCAGGCATTGTGGGTTTCATGATAGATCTTCTCGGCTCTAGAGGATGCACACCTCTGGTAAGCCATTTCTAGGTTCCTGTGGCAGAGATGCAAAAAATTGATCGTCAAGTGAAGAATACATCTGATATAATAAGATTCAGAACAAAAAAATATAAAGCAGATTTCACGGTAAGAAATTTACGAGGTAGTGTTTAGAGTCACAGTGCCTATCCCTACAACAGTGTCCTAGAAGTACACGGAAAGCTCCATGCTGGAGCGAAAGACTCATACTCAACCAAAGTGTCATATCATCGATGCCTTTTCAATAGACTAATTATTTAGTCCCCCCCCTCATTATTGTAAAAGCCAGCGCCGTTGTGCGCTGCTCAACATTCTTTCTCTATTCTTTAGTAGAACGAGGCCAACCAGA